CCCTCCCCCCTCCCTCGCCCCTCTTCACTTCATGTGCCATTCCCCAGCTTTGAACGAGTGCCTCTGTCGTTAAAAAGTAACTATAAGGTTTTACGCGCGCGCGATATAGAGCACTTCAAACAACGAAAATAAAGTCCTTTGCCTTTTATCTGTTGCATATGATGGTCTAATCTGATGAGTCTTCGGCTTCCTGGGAACAAATTATCTTCAGGGGTTGGACTTTTATCGCAAACAAAGTCTAGAGATAAAAACATTCATAATGAAATTACAAAAAGCTTTCAAAGTATAAAGATTGTATGGCGTTTTGAGTAAATATCTTGTGTTTAGAAGTTCGTTCACTTATTCGTTCGTCGTAATTCTTATCCCAACACCTCTATTTCCTGCGTTTAGTAACTTCACTCTAGTACTGAGGAAGTCTAAAACGTCGATTAAACTCTTTGAATTTGAGACATTTTTTTCCATTTCAAAATTTCAAAATAATTTTTTTGGAATATTAATAATGAAGTATGAGAACGAATATTTATTTAGTCGTGTTGTTGACAGTATTTTAGTTTCAAGACTATTTGCTTTAGTTGGTTTACTATATCTACTCTGAAGTATTTCCTTGTCGTTCATTTAGTGATGGATTTGTTTTGATCCATTGGTGCTGAAGAAATTTCTTAATCGACAATATTTGGGTTTATCGCAGAGGATATCGCCAAAACAGAGCTGTTTTGCCAGTCACGTTTTATCTCATGCATTTGATGCGATAAAGAACCCATTTGTAATAAAAATATACTGCGTTAATGAAAGTCATTACTTCTACCCACGCGCGCGCAATTAATCATGATAGTGGATTTTTTCTTTCTTTCTTTTGGTTTTTGCGCGCGCGCGGAGAAGCGCTGGAATATCTGTGAATGGGTTAACGGTTGCTATGGAATTAAGGGGCTGGTCATAAAGTAAAGGGGATTGGGATGGGGTGAGGGGTAAAAACAGGAAGTGGGTCACACAATTTTGACTCTTCTGAAAAGGGGTGGGCTGTCAGAATAAAGCTGTACATTAGGCATTGGGTTATTTTTCATTTCCTGAATGAAAACTTTGGGGGGGGG